ACATGTCCATCCTGGGCCTCCTGCAGTGCCACAACGATGCCACCCGAAGGTTGCAGGAACAGCAACTCATATTCCGCTTGGGAACCCTGCAGCCCAATGGTATCAATGTGGATTTCACAAGTTTCAAAATCTCCCCTCCCCCTACCGCATCCCAAAACCAGTCCAGCTCGTGCCTGCCTCCCTAACCTGTTCTTCCTCCCACCTATCCCCTCCTCTCACCTCAAGCCGCACCTCCATCTCCTACCGACCAACCTCATCCTGCCCCCTTGACCTGTCCGTCCTCCCTGGACTGACCTATCCCCTTCCTAACTCCCTACCTACACTCACCTTTACTGGCTCCATCCCCGCCTCTTCGACCTGTTTGTTTCCTCTCCACCTATCCTCTCCTGTATCCCTCTTCTATCCGCCTCCCACTCTCTCCCTATTTATTTCAGAATCCCCTTCCCCTCCCCCTTTTCTGATGAAGGGTCTAGGCCCGAAACGTCAGCCTCTCTGCTCCTATGATGCAGCTTGGCCGGCTGTGTTCATCCAGCCCTGCACCTTGTCGTCTCGGTTTCTCCAGCATCTGCAGTTCCTACTATCTCAGGTAAAGACAGACTTTGTTTTCTGAAGGACATCATTGGATATGTCATTTTTTTAAAATGTCAAATGGTGGTTATTACACAGCCAGTCGGTTAGCTTATTTCAGAGTTCATTTCCCTTGAGCGCCCAATCAGAATCCTTATGAAATCGTTTGACTGTTTCCACGTTCCATGCAGGCAGCAAGTTCCAGATCATTACCATTTGCTGCATTAAGGGCATGTTCTCCCTCATTGTGCCAATGCATCTATTGCTCAAGATCTTAAATCTGTGTTCCCTAATCCTTGCACCATCCGCTAATCAGACCAAAGAAAAGGGTTCTCTCATTCAAACAGGTCATAATCTTGCACACTTCCATCTCTTTTCCTCCAACAACACAACTTCATGTCTTGCAGCTAAAATCCTTTGGGATCATTCTGATAAATCTATGCTTGATAACACTCTCATTCTTCTGCAAGTGTGAACGTGACATTGTGGCCTAATAACAACCTAACTTAAAAAAAAGGTACAGCATTACATTTTTGTCCTTGCCTCTAAACAAAGATCCCATATGCTTTGCTCATCACTCTCTCACTAAGTCCTGTCACCAGGACTTCAGTGAACAAATCCATGTTGGCGCACCTTCATTAGCGCACATTTGTCTTAATGACTTGATTTTTTATCCAAGTTATTATTTCTAAAAGCTTTCCCACCATCAAGGTTAGTAACTAGAAAATCTCTAAAACACTGAAACCATCTTGAAAATCTAAGAAGATCAGAAGACAATGCCTGCCACCTGCCAAACATGCCTTCTTCAGTATTCTTGCATGCCCCCAGTCATAGAGAGTTGTGCTTTAAAGTACATGTTTACCAATACTTCTTGACCAATATCAAAAGCTTTCACACTTCGGTTTACGTGGAATGGTTCGTTCCATCCTGTTGAGCTCAAAATTCCCAAAGCTACTGGAAGTATCCTCAATTGATACTTATTCCTCATTTAACACCAATAATCAAATCTAATCTCAGTGCTAGACAGTATGGATTTTGCACACTAGCACCTCACCTTAAAAGAAATAAATAATTAAAAGCAATTTATTGTAGAAAGTAACTGGAGGTATGACCAAATGCTATGAAAGTAATTCTAAGCACCTACTCCATAAGTCCCAGTTGAACAACAATTGGTGACTTCAGCCACCTTAAATCTGACTGGCAAATTTCGTGGAACTATGAATGGTCTCAAACAAACAGACTCTGTGAAGAGTAATCCCATATTACTAACTCGCTCAGATATCCCATGGAGGGGTTGATTTTGGTGGTTGGTGCAGCTGAGGGCCAATCAATTTTCAGTGCCTGAAACCTAGAGGGCCTCAACCAAACAGTAATGTTCTGAAAACAAACGGAAGTCTGAACGAGTGACACATTCCACTTGAATAAGACCAATAATTTGAAGTATAGCTTTACAAAAACCTATCTTTTCATCAATTTAACTCATGCTAGATCAGATCTAAAAAGCTTGACACCATCCAA